GAGACGTGCAATTTGAGCTTGGGGACAAGGTTTATTTGAAGATTTGATCTTACAGAAAGAGGACTTTAGCTCGAAGAAGGAATGAGAAGCTCTCCCTCCTATAATTTGGGCCCTATGACTACAAGGTTTTGGAGTGCATTAACACAGTAGCACATTGCCTATGGTTTCCACCAACCTCAGCCATCCCTCTCATATTTCATGTATCGCAATTGAGACGAGCCATTGGAGACCACAAATCCTCGCCCACAATACCGACCATACTGTCAGAGTATATATGGAGGTGATATTAGAAACACTGGAGGTGAAATGAGTGCTCCAAGGAGACATAGGGATTAGAGAGGTGTTGATCAAGTTGAATGATTTACTAGAGTATGAGACGACATGGGAGCCCTATAGTACCATCCAGAAGCAATTTCCCTCTTTCCACGTTGAAGACAAGGTGACTTCTTGAGAGGGGAGTATTGATGCATATCAGGAACCTTTCAGCTCCCCTGTGGAACCCAGGACCTCCTTTATCACCTACAGGAGAAGAGGTTTTTTTTTTTTTCGGGTTGTTTTTTTGTTTGGGGGGGGGGGGGGGGGGGGGGGGGGGGCGCTCTTTAGGGAAGATGTAATTTATGAGGGGATTTTGGCTGTTTAAGGGGGAAATTGTGGAGGGTTAGGGCTTATGTTTTGTTTTGTTTTCTGCATTTATTTTTGTTGGGTGTTTGGATTCCTAGTGGCTGCTAGGAATTGTGGGAGAGATTATTCATTATTCGCCTCTTGAATAGTGAATCAACTTATATCTTGTCTTTCTTTGCTTGGAGATTAGTAAATACAGCCCCCTTGATATTATATTTGAATTTATTTGGAGTAAGTTGTTTTTTTTATATTGTTGTGTGATGTTTTGATCATCAAGTCCTATCAGACTATTAATAGGAGCTATTGATGATCACATGCATGATGCATGATATGCAGGAGACTAGATACAGCGGCAATTTAAGAATGCAAAGCCATAAGCACGAAATGGAACTTCTGTGACCAAAACATCATCGCCATGATCAAAAGTGAGAAGTAGAACATCCCAGAGATAGAGGATCAACTAAGAAGTTTTTATTTGTGTAGAGATGTTGAATTTGAAGAATATTGAATTTTCTCCTGTCGGTGCTACTAATAGGAACATTTGAATGAATCTGGTGAATTTTTCAGTTCACCCTGAAATCTATTTGAATACTAATTGCATGAAAGAGAACTACAGTGCCGCCATAGCACAAGGGGGGCTATTTGCTGAAAGGCACAAGGTGTATTTCAACGAAATTGTTGCTCTTGTGCATACCCCAATGTCCTTCTTCTCCTAATAAACCTTAAAAGCATGTCTCCTTAAAATGTGGGGTGAAGTTTTGCCAAAAAACCTTATGACCTGCCTTCTCAAACTTGTAAGTCGAGTTATGGGCAGGGAAAATAGTGAACTGCATCAAAGGAAAACCTTGCATGCTTGTGTTTTTCTTCCTAAAGCTAAAGTAACATGAAAGGAAAGGAGCCAGTGATATCGTGAGAGCGCTTTCTTTTATAAGCAAAAGAATACAATTTTTAAGAAAGATGTCAGCAATTATTCAATTATGCTCTAGAAACATTCAAAGTTGTTAAATCAATATATTGATGTCACTTTATAAGTGGAGTTGTTCTCAAAATTTAGAAATGTTGGATGGTCATCAGATTGGACATGTGTTGACTGTTGACACTTCATAAGTGTGAAGATTCTTTTGCTTACATTTTCCATGCTACTAAAAATTCCAAAAATAACTTAAACTGAAATTCAAAGACTAATTGGATGTCATCTTTTCTTCTACGGGCTTGGTGACTACCATGTTGAGAGATGTACATGCACATTGACTTTTGTGTTAGGTTAGAACTATGGGAGAATGAAAAGAAAATGTACCTAAAAATGAAACCAAGATAATTTGTGTTATATCTGCTCATAATTGTTGTTATAATATAGTGTATTCATAAAGTTTGGACGAGTCACAAAATGCCTTTTATAGTTACGGATTATGATGAAACTATAGCATATGGACTTGAGCTTTTATTCATCAATAATAATGAACCAAGCCTTATCCTGAGAACATTTGTACATGGTGGATGATTTTGTGACTTGGTGCTTTTGATAGATATATTTGCATATGGTTCTGTTATAGATGTGGATGTCTCATTTTGTTGTGATTTTGAATACAAATTATGAGCTTTGCTGTGCTCTTGTATATAAGGAGAAAATTCAAATGTAGTTTGATCAACATGTGCAAGGTGTGCCCGATGCTATTCCTCAATAACTACTATGTGAAAAAGGCCGTCAGGGAGAACACATGTGCTACAAAACTTTGTTAAGTCATGGTCGAGGAACAAATAAAGTATATCTTATGATTGAGGGAATGTTAAGAGATAATGTGCCATGAATGGGATCTTGCCAGTAATGCAATATAAATTGTTGGTGGTCCATTCCCTACGACCAGCTTGGAAATTTGTAGGATTGCAAGCGGGCTGTCCAACGTGGTAATTCATGGGCCTTGGGCGAATCAACTTCCAGGTTTTAGGTGAATTAAATGCTTGCAGGTTGGAGAAGATTTTCCCTTATTTCCATATATACAGTTATAGAAACATAGTTAATTACTTGTATATTCTATCCTAGGAAGATTATAATGTAATCACTATGCTCATTTCCCTAAGTTTGACTTTCTTGTACTGGACTCAAAGCTATCCCTAATACTCACCATAATTTAATAAGGATGTTGCTTATGTTAAATATTGTTAGATTGTCAACCTTAGTAGCTGGAATCTATAAGGGTGGCGAGTAGTAAATGACAACCCAATATAACCTGCATTTAAATTTCTCTCTCCTATGTGGGCTATGGAGAGTTCTTGAAAAGAAAGGAGTCAATAATGCTTATATTCAAATCATTAAAGATATGTATGCAGGAGCTATTACTTGTGTTCAACACAAGGTGGATTGACCAAGTATTTCCCTATTTCGGTTGGGTTATATCAAGGATCAGCCTTAAGCCCATATCTTTTTGCTTTAGTCATGGATGTTCTCACTAGACATTTGCAAGTGGATGTACCTTAGTGTATGCTTTTTGCTGATGATAATTCTTCTTGTTGATAAGACTAGAGAGGGAGTTGAAGGTAAACTTGAATTATGGAGGTCAACCTTAGAGTCTAAAGGTTTTCGCTTGAGTAGATCTAAAACAGAATATATGGAGTGTAATTTTAGTAGTAATAGACCTAGTGAGGGGATTGTGACTTTGGGCGATCAAGTTATTAATAAGAGTATACGTTTTAGATATCTTGGATCTATTGTTCAGAGTGATGGTGAAATAGATGGGGATATTATCAGCAGAATTCAAGTTGGATGGTTGAAGTGGAGAAATGCATCGGGCCTGTTATGTGATAGAAATGTACCCCTCAAACTTAGGGAAAATTCTATAAGATGGTAGTGAGGCCTGCAATGCTTTATGGTGCCGAATGTTGGCCTTTAAAAGAGAAGCATAATACTAAGTTAAGTGTGGCGGAGATGAGGATGCACAGGTGGATGAGTGGCTTTACCCTTAGAGATAGGATACGAAATGAGCATATACGTGAAAAGGTTGGAGTAGCTCCAGTAGAAGATAAGATTAGAGAAAGTCACCTTAGATGGTTTGGTCACATAAAACGGCGGCCTTGTGATGACTCGGTTAGGAGAGTAGAGGTATTAGATTTGACTTATGTTAACTTGTTAAGAAAGGTAGGGGTAGACCTAAAAAGACTTGGTTAGAAAATATTAGGAATGACCTTTCTTTATTAGATTTAAACGATAATTTGACTTTTAATAGGACACAATGGAGAAAAAGGATTCATGTAGCCGACCCCACGTGGTGGGATAAAGGCTTGATGTTGTTGTTGTTGTTGTTGTTGTATGTTCATTTTGTCACATAAAATCTTGACCTTCTAATAACCCAGTTAGGAGAATAAGTATTAGATTTAGCGTACCTTAAAAGGTAGATATAGACCTAAAAAAACTTGATTAAAAAAATATTAGAAATGATATTGTTTTATTAGATTTAAATAAAAATTTGACTTTTAACATGACACAATGGAGAAAAATGATTAATGTAGCCGACCCCACGTAGGGATACAAGCTTGATCTTGTTTTTGTTGATGATGAGGAATGAGAAAGAGATATCGATAGAATATAGAAAATTCTATTTAAATTTAATTCATCATTTATTAAATCAAATGAAGCGCTTAAATTCCTATTTATTGAAAATATGATTATATGATAAAATTAAATTAATTTAAATTCAAATCTTGGTGACTTTTAAAATTTGTCATTTAATTTAAAATAACAAATACTTTTAAAAACTAAATCCAAGAAAACTGAAATTAAATCGTATTAATAATGCTAAATATTAGAATAATAAAGAAACATTTAAAATAATCTTGTTGCATCACTGCATGCATAGTACTATGTGAATTACACTTGCTTTATAGATCTTGCGTTGTAACTTTTACTTGTAATGATGTCGTATGGCCTTGCAGCAGCCTAGTTATTCAATGTATGATTTGGAGCAAAATTCAGTTTTCTTGATAATTTAGTTTTAATCATCTAATTTTGCCAGAAGTTGTTGATTTCTATTTGAGTGAAGTTTATCTTCTTTTCATAGTTCCTGCTATTTATTTTCTCTTGTCACTGCAAAAGCTTGAATCCTAAATTCTTATTCTCAACAACAAAGAGTAATGTTAATTTCTCTTGCAACTGCAAAAGCTTGCATATGCACATCTAGATGCATGTAAATCCTGGCATGCGTCCATTTTTATATGTTCTCAATTTTTATTAACTTCCTTGCATTTGATGTAATATATTGTCGGTCATATATTTAGTCCTATTATTTTGTTCACGCTCTAAAAAAATTTACCGCGCGGGAGGATCTTTTTGCTCTTTAATTTTTTATCTTGGCCTTCACTTTAAGGTTGTATGGAATACTTTGCAGGATGAAGAGGATGAATTTGATAGAGCTGCTTTGGGCAAAGATGATGATGCTGGTGAACGATTATACATGAGGGATGTAAAAAATCGTGGACCTCACTTAAATTATCACTGTATATTTGCAGATGTGGTCGAAGCGCCATATGCTGGGTCTTACCATTTCTACAAGGATCCCCGTGCTGATCACTTCGCTGCAGGCGTGCGGCTTGAGGAAGAAAAGAAAGCAGCTGAAAATTATTCTGTTCCAAATTATAGTAAAGATGAACACCCTTCTTCTACCACTGGTTTGCTAGAGGACATAAAGTTGAAGCCTATTCTAAAGAGAAAAGAGGCACATGATGATTCAAAGCCAAAGAAACGAGTTAGATTTGACCCTGGCTGCAAAGCTGATAATGATGAGGTACCCACTCAGGATTCTGCCATGTTCTCGCTTTCCATGGAGGTCCCTGCTGCTGCTGCTGCTGATCCGAACCCTGTAATGTTAGAAGAATCCCCAGGGCTTCCTGATTATGTGAGGAATCCTTCTAAGTATACCCATTACACCTTTGACTCTTATGAAGATGACGATTTGGCAAATATTAGTGCATTTGAAGACCTGCAAAATGTCTACAAGAAATTGAATCCCGAGCAGCTGCACCAGCAGTTCACCACCGTGGAGCCTCCAAAGTCCATTACATTCAGCCCTCGCAGGAAATCAATTGATGCTATGCCAGTTGATAATGAATCGGGAGATATTCAAGAAAACCGCATCAGAAAAGAATTCCTTCAAAGTGATTTATGGGTGTGTCCATCTGTTGGAATAGCAGCTGCTGAATCTTATGAAGGTGGGGTTTGTAAGATGGATGAAGATGATGATGATGTAGAGGCACCCATTTCGGACGAAAGGGTAGATCCTTCAAGAAGAGGGCGGAAGTATCGTTCTAGAGCTAACTCTGATGATTAGAACTTCATGCTTTGTATGTCACTCTTAGCTTCTTTTAAGCATTTAAGAGTTGGAACTCTTTATCAATTAAGATGATGTGAAGTAATGCAGCAAGTCCTTAAATACTCTATAGCTGTATCATATGAAAAATCATTTCTATATATATATTTTTCCATTATAGCTTTATTGGAGAGTCAGATTTATGTTTTTTAATTGCTTGTAGGTGTTGTTGATAAATTAATTGTGGATATATATTTTTTTTAAATTTAATATGTAAGATGGTAAATGATATTTTTTGCAAGATTACATTGAGAGATTATTAATTCTTCATTGCTTCATACTACATGTTAGATATAATCAAATAATAAATTACCTAAACTTATATATCAAAATATTTAGTATTCTCAAATAAGTGTCCTTACATAATTTATAAATGTATGATAAGCTTTCTGATTTTTTGTAGAATGAGATGGATGTATCCTAAGATTTTGATTGACTAGAAATGGATGTTTATGAAGATCCTATAAACACAACAAGTGTACAACATCATTATCTTTTGAAGGTTATATCCCACCCAAAAAGATTGAATAGTTTGGTGAGTAATACATTCTTTGTACCAATATTGATGTAATAGTTAAAAGTATAGCTCAAGTTGCTTATGTAATTCAAAGGATTATTTAAAAGTTGGATAAAGGAAAATGTTTATTAAACTCAATTTCTTGAACGACCTAATTATGATCACTATGCCTAAGAGTATGACAATTTAGATAAGAATCTAATTATGAGTCATTCCTTCGCGAAATTGATTTTGGAATTATTTAGGACTTAATGATGCCTTAAACATTTTGAATTGTAGTATAGTAATATTATAAACTCATGTTCTCTTATGCTTGGTCTCATAAAAACATTATGATCATTTTTAATTTATATTTTATAAATGATGGCTAATCTAATTCTTTATTTTCTTATGATTTTTTTTATATTTCTTATTTATGGTTGCATTAAAGAAAAAATAATTTTTTTACCCATATGTACTCTATTAAGATGAGGTTAAGAATAATAAAAAAAATTTATAAGCTCATTGTTATTTGTTTCAGTGTAAAAATGGTAATGTGTAATTTTATCATCATATGACATACCAAGCTCTAAACTTTACACTCGATCAAATAAAAAAAATAGTGCTTCTGCATTTATTTTACAAACATGAAAAATAATTTTAAAATATATTACATCTATTTTACTTTGCATTTTTAAAATACGTAAATTCAAAATTATTGTAACCAAACAACCCCTTCCTAGGTTAGCTAAAAAAGAGATGATTCTCAAGATGATCCTATCACACAACTGTCCAAAATACGTATATATTGCTATTGATTGTATATAAGTTATAGAATCCAAAGAAACTCAAGAGATGTTAAAATAGGCAAATTTACTTCCTAACTATAATGAATAGTATTATACCTTCACAAATGATATGTTATACCTTAGGTCAGTTGACTAAATTATTATGATGTTTTGAAACTAACAAAGCCAAGATAATCATAGCTGAAATTATAATAACACGTATTTTAACCTAGATAAATATTTTTTCCATTTCCAATACTAGTCACAGTTGATCTCTGAGTCCTCTCAAGAATATGTGGCACTTCTCCTCCTCGGTGTTGAAATAATGATGTGTGTACTGGGACAAAGAAGTGAACTCAGCTTCGTATTACATAATTGTTTTTTAACCTTGAGTTAGATTGAATAACTTGTCTTGCAAAGCTATATGGATAAAGGAGGAATGAACCAGTCTCTAAAAACCCACAAAATCGTCCCACTGTATGGTAATGATAGAAATCTATCCAAATTTTTCACTATGTTGTGCTTGCCACCAGCTTTCTGCCTCTCCTTCTAGAATAAATATGGCTAATGGTACTTTTCTATTGTCAAAACAGATCATGCCATCTAGAATCTTTCCTATCTTCAGCAACCAGTATGATAATAATTCAGTGAAAAATCTTAAATAAATACCCACAACAAAAATGGCTAATGGTATAACTTATAGTTTTTGGAAGATCAACAACAACCTAAAGTGCTACTTGTAAGAAATTTATTTGAATGATTGAATGATATAGCATATTATGTATAATTGAATGACATATGATAGAATGAACTATAAGACTGTATGATTTGATGAGTTTTGATTTGATTTGAGTTTTGATTGTACGAATTTAGTTTATTTTGATTTTATGCCCGAATCCTCAAGGGAAATGTCGAGGATGACATTTTCTTAAGATTGGTAGATTATAATAAACTATATTTTGAACTAGGTAAATAGTTTTTTTAGAGCAAATATAACTCCAAATCGCAAGCCGTCTTCACCATGGCATTGAGATTGTGGTATATTAATTACAAGAATTTTTTTGAAATTTTTGGGTACTTCTACAAATCCTTAAGAAATTTCTTAGACAGATTTTCCAGCGAATTTTTCAGCGGATTTCCGACGGTTGTTTTTCTGTCATAATTTCCAGCAAAATTTCCGACGAATTTAAAAATTTCCGAAAAAAAAATATATTCATAACTAATAATTGTATAGCTTATTTTAATTAATTACAAATGTAATGATTTATTTTAATTAATTATTAATTTAATAAAATATTATAATTAATTATTAATTTAATAAATTATTTTAGTTATTAATTAAAATAATTAATTTTGATTAATTACCAACTTTAATATTTTATTATAATGTATTTTTATAAAAAGTTATTAAATAAATAATTTATTTATTATAAATTTAGTAAATTATTTTAATTAATTATAAAATTAATAAGTTATTTTAATTATTTATTAATTTTAATAATTTATTTTAATTTACTTTAATTTATTTTATATTTTATTTTTCGTAATATTTTATTTCCCTGCAGTGCCCAATCACATACCCATTTTCATTCTCAATTTTTGTATTAATAGTATTCTTAAATAAAAATATCCAATTTCCATACAATATAAATCATACAAAATTAAATAACTTCTATTTTACCAATGAATTTTATAAATATTGCAGTCAAAATGCTTAAATTAATGACAACAATCGCATACCAAAAGTTATACATAAAAAATTTAGTAAAAATTAAGATATCATAACTTTTACAAGTTTTAATCAAATTAAAATATATAAAACACAAAATACATAAATTTATTGAAATAAGAAATATGGTAATAAAGTCTTATATTGAGACAAGCAAATTTCTCAATATATAGGGTCGATTGATAAAAATTGCTCTACACTCATCATATATAGGCTTTTATTTTCTCTCTCCTCACTTTTCTCTCTTATTTCTCTAATTCCATTCTCTGTTAGGCGATGTAATAAGGGAGAAAAGAGTTTTACTTGTTTAAATGTAATGGCTTAAGATATTTATAATAAATATCTCTTAAGAATATAAAAATAATTATGTAAATTATTTTATCTTAAATATAATGATTATATAAATCCTCTAATATCTTTAAATTTAGAGCTCTAAAAATTAGAGAAAAATGTTTATAAAGCAGTTCATCATGTATAGAAATTTTTTTGTGAAATTGGTTTTGAAAATGGATACCTAAAGGTCCCAAAACCCCTTATACCAACATGTGTAAATTTCTTAAGAAATTGCACCCATAGGGAAATATGTGATTCTAAGGAAGACATTTGATGGGATACAGTTTCCTCCAAAGAAAATTTATTGATTGAAATATATGATAATGATGAAATTTATTATGAGTGATAGAAGTTATATTTTGGTGTCTACATGCATTTTCTATTTCCTAAAAGCATGTTGTGATGCAATATGCACATTCTATTATGGTGTTAGCTTTAAGAGGCATAAGGGTTTGAGGATAATTTATTACTTTCATTTTTGATATATGAAGTGCTTGTTTATTTACTTTTCGATGATTCTATATAAGTTTTCTAATAATTCGAAGTATGATTCCATTCAATATAGAGATTTAATATAAATTATTTTAAATATAGATGCACATTTGATAAATGAATTATTTAAAATTTTAAAAAGATAAATTTAGTCTATTAAGCTATATTAGCTCAGAGTTATTTTGTCTTTTATTTTTAGGGTCTAAGAGGGGAAATTAGCATGTTGAGTAATAGTGTCAGGATTTAATATAAGTTTGTGTGGGTGTTTCTTTCTTTTAATTTTATAGTCATAACTATTTATGATTTTGCTCAATTTTATAGCTGAGTCTATAGCCATATAATGTAGTGGAATTTTTATAAATATATTTTGATGATAAATGGAAAGAAAATTTTAAGGATGAGTTCATTTTTAGTATTCTTGATATTATTAGTAGCTATGTGGTCTATGATTTGTTTTAAAGTTAAAATGGAATGAAAAATTCTAATAAAATTTTCAAAACTTAGATTTTGGGGTTTGCATGTTGAAAACCAACATAATAGAGCATGTCCAATCTATGGGTCTGATCGGATTGAGTTATGATAAGCAATTTTTATATCAAAATAATAGTTTGGAAACTAATTATAAAATACAGCTATATGAAATTGACTTGTAAGTTAATAGAGGTGGTTTTGGGTCCGTTTGTGAATTCATTCTTGTTTGTTTTCATGTACATGTTTATGATGTGTCCAAGTTCAGCATATGGATCGACCGATTTTGACCTAATTATAAAAGGTAAATATTAAAAATTTTGAGTTTTGAATCCATTTACATATATTTGGAAGTGTTTTAATGCTTGAAAATGGTTGCATGTGTTCTAGAGTAGGTTGCAAGAGTCTGGAGTGAATTTTGATAAAATCTAAAAAAATATTACTATTTGAGCGCTCAAATGTTGGGTGTCCAAGCCCTCAACACTCCAACAATGCTAAGGTGTCAAATAGTGATATTTCAGTATTGTAGTCTTAGGTTTTAAGAAAATGAACTAGCCTCATAGTGCTAGAAGGGTAGCACCGCAGCACTCAGGCACTAACTGCACTTTAAATATAATAAAATCACTATTTCATTCATTTGAGAGCCGCATGCAACCATGAAGAGAGAGAAATAAGAGAGTTTTGGAGATGAAAGGAGGGTTTTGAGCTACTTGGGGTCATTTTTAGCCATTAGCCCTTAGGAAAGTTGTTTGGATTAAGGTCGGACATATTTGATCTATCTCAATTTTCAAAAATATAAAGTATTTTTGGATTTTTCAAC